GCTTCGACGACGACCGCACGGACGACGTGTCGTCGCTGACCGGCAAGCAGCTCGCGGAGCTCGCGAGCTGGGTCAACGGCACCTACCACGACAAGTACGTCTACCGCGGCGTCCTCGGCGGCGGCTACTTCTTCGACGCCACGGGCCGGTCGACGCCCGCGGGGCGGGACGTGGCGCGGAAGATCGCGGACGAGGCGCGGCGCGCGGAGCTCCGCGAGGCCGACGCGCGCCGGTTCCCGCGCTGCTCGTCGCGGCGCAGCGCCGTCGAGGCCTACGTCGCCTGCAAGGGCGGCCGCGTGCCCCGGCGGCGGCGCCTCGCCGGCGACGACGACGAGCCCGAGCGCTGCGCGTGCGCGGCGCCGGACGCCGCGGACGCGGCCGGCGGGCTCCTCGACGTCTACGCCGGCTGCGCGCCCGACGCGGCGAAGTGCGACCTCCCGCCGCGGGAAGCGCCCGCGCGGGCGGCGGCGGCGGCGCCCCGGGGACCGCCCGTGTAGTAGTGTTTTGGCGTCGTACGAGGGCCGCGAACATGGGTGCGCGGCGGTCGAGGCTCGGCTCGCGATCCTGGGTGCGCGGCGGTCGAGGCTCGGCTCGCGAACATGGGTGCAGAGCGGCAGACGACGCTGTCGACGGAGCAAAGCGCCGAGCCGTTCTCCGCCGTCCGTCGGACGCGGACGCGCGCGGCCGCCCCGGCTACGGCTGAAGCGCCGCGGCGGGCTCCGGTCGCGGCGCGGCGGGCTTCGATCTCGAGGATAGTAGCGAGCGCTCATCGTGTGGCAGCAGATTGCGGCAGCCCAGATTGGCAGCTCGAGTTTCGGCACTGCAAGCCTTCTTCTTGAACGACAACTACGAGGGAAGGTATCTCACTTCAAGATCTCTCAGTGCAGCGACTGGAGTGTTGAGCACTCTCGGGCAGCCACACATCGTCTGCGGTACCGCCGGCAGCCCGCCGCGCCGCGCCGTCGGCGGCGCGCCCGCGCTCGAAACCCGCGCCCGCGCGGCTGACGCGCCCCCCGGGGTTTGGGCGGCCCGCGGGGCGGGGCTCGGATCCCGCGGCGGCGCCGCCGCGGGCACGCACGAAGAGGCCGGCGCCATGGACCCGGAGATGACGCGGGAGAAGTACCCGTGCAGCTGGCCCAAGGGCGCGGGGAACTTCGGGGAGCTGAGCGAGAAGGAGGTCAAGGGCCGCATCAACTCCATGAAGACGACGACGGTGGACCTGAGCGACGGCTTCCGGTTCCGCTACGCGTCCGTCACGCAGCGCGGCTTCTACCCGCACGACCGCAAGAAGGCGAACCAGGATTCGTTCGTCATCGCCCACAATGTGGGCCATAAGAGCCACCATTCTTCGGCTCTCGACGC